TCGGCGTGTTATCTGTCTATTTAGCCAATTTCTACTATTTCCAGCCGCGCCCTCAAGCCTGGTAGAGGCTAGTAACCTCCTTGGATATACATGTACACACATCGCCATGCGGCATGCGCCGTCAGATCTAGCCTCTACCAGGCTTCGGGAGGTGGCCATTTTCTACACTTTACAGCCGCCTCCCGAAGCCTGGTAGAGGCTACTAGTATGTCAAATCAGGATGGGGGAAAACCGCGTGATTTCGAATTTTTACCATTCTGTAACTGCATGTCGTATCCAGAACTGTGTCTATTTACTTCTATGCCTGAAAGGGTTGCGGGTAGGATCAGGAACGGTTCTGGATAGTCTCTGTGTATCCAGGAACGTAGATTTGCCCCGGGCACGGTTCTGGATACGCATGAACTATCCAGAACCGTGCCTGAGCAGGCTATGGTTCTGGATAAAGCGCGGTTCTGGATACAACACTTCACATCTTTCGTCAGTCACTCAAGTTCTTTATTCGACAGGAAATTTGACTCAGTAGACATAATAAGACAGTCTTTACAAAGGTGGGGAGGAGGTCACCTGGAGGACTTTAAGGACGTGTGACGTCACCAGGCGTGACTAGCCTCTACCAGGCTTCGCCGGAGGCGGCTGGAAAGCGTAGAAATTGGTCAAGTAGACAAATAACATGCCAGGGGAGCAAACTGTACTCCTTTAGGGGTCCAACTCTCCTGGCATGTTATCTGTCTACTTGACCAATTTCTACTCTTTCCAGCCGCTTCCCGAAGCCTGGTAGAGGCTACAACTATGAATGAGAGCTACTTGATGGACAAGACTTCCAAATCTTACCCGCTCTGATCCAAGACGAAAATCGGAATGCTTTTGGAGTTTACCTTGGGAGTAGCGTGAATACAAGTACCCGTGACATGGAATGTAGCAAAACGGAAATATCATTTTCCCCATCTGTATTTACCCCTAGCCCCCCTGGCCTGTTGATGTACAGTAAGGGTATTTTAGTGCTACTGTGTCTGTGTGTTTATTACAGTACAAGA